AAAAAAGAAAAGAATTTTTTTTTAATGTTAACTGTACGCAAGAATAAAGTTAAATGATAGGGAATTGTAAAAACAGGTTCTAAAAACCTGAACCTGAAGAGGAGAAGGAGGAGGAAGAAGGGATGAAGAAAGAATATAAACGAAAAAGATTAAGATGATAGGTGGCAGAATGTCGCGTTTCTCTTACTCTCTCTCTCTCTCTCTCTCCCCTCCTCTCTCTCTTTCTTTTTCTAAATAATTATTTTCGTACTCATGGTACTCGTGGTAGTAGTAGTAGTAGTACGCTAATTTCAAATAATAATAATGATAACAACATGAATTTCTCATCAATCGAATAAATTTACATTTTTATAATCATGATCATCATTCATTGTTTGTTTGTTAATTATTAATAAATAATTATGATTGTTTGTTTGTTTGTTCGTTTGTTTGTTGGGTGTGTCAAAAAAAAAAATTTTAATTATTTTCAAATCGAACAAAGGGAAAAAAATTTAAAATGTTTCTTTTTTTTTGGGGGGGACATACGTTCGCGGTGCGAATGTGGAACGATTTAAACGCACCAAGCGGGATTTATTCGTACTAGTGATAAGGCGTTTATCCGAATTTTTAATTCTGATTTGAAATTCGTACCTAATAAAAAAAAAAAAAAAATATGTCGATTGCGAAATTTTGGTTATAAATTACAAAAAAAAAAAAAAAAAGTAAAACTTTGTGAATATATTTATTTATGATTTTTATCACGTCGCCATATTTTCTCTCTCTCTCTCTCTCTCATTTTTTTTTTATTATGTCGGGCCATGAGTTTAATAATTATTACGTAATAAAATATTGTTTTAGGTTCGTGCCACGAAAACTAGTCTAAAAAAGAAAAATTTAATCGCTTGACATGATCGCGAAAAAAAAAAAAATTCATCTTTTTTTTAATTTTTATCTTTTTTTTTTTTGCTATTAAAATAAAAAAAACGCGTTCGCATTATTTGTAGCAAAAAAAAAAAAAACTAAAAAAAAAAAAAAATTTAGTATTAAGGTGGTGCCCCCCCTCTCCTTTTAAAAAAAAAAAATTCGATCGGTATTGTGACACGCGAGTCAATTTTTTTTTTTTTTTTTTTTTTTTTATGAATAAATTTATTTTAAACGAGCGACCTATTTTAAAGAAGAAATACTACTTTCGCTACTGAACAAAAAAATAACAACAACAATATGTTAACGTTTGGCTCCCCGAAAAAATAAAATTTCAAATAAAAAAAATTGAGATCGAATCTTGCAAGGACATTTTTTCCTTAAAAAAATTAATTATTATTATTATAATTAATGATAAAAAGAAAAAAATTTTTTTAATCAAAATTTTTGATAACGTTAGTATTATTATCATGTGTGTGTGCGTACGTCTAGAAGAAGGTAATTTGCTACAAGAAAAAGAAAAAAAATAGAAAGCGCTAAAAAAAAAATATTTAATGCGAATTAGAAAGCGTACGACATGAACGACATTAACGATAGCAAAAAAAAAATGAAAATGGGATAAACACGCAAATGAACGAACGAAACAACGTTCGAACCCCGCGATGTCTTTTCAATCGAATTTAAATTATCGGATATGAAATTAATTTTAAAAAAAACGTGGCAGGAGAAAATTTTTTATTTTTCACGGCAAACTTGAATTTTTTTGATTTTGCTATTGTTTTTTTTTTTTTTATTGCGATCTTTAAGGACTCTACGAAGAGGTTTTGCTTGACCCAACACTCAAAAGGAAAACGAACCGCAAGCTATGGTGGTGGTGATGTGGATGGTGGTGTTAATGATGGTGGTGGTGCTAGTGCTTGTTGGGGTGGTGGTGGTGGAGTTGATGGAATTTTTTTCTTTTTTTGGGGGGGGCCCTCTAGTGATTCGATCAAGTCGACCTTTACCTCATCAAATTTCATCGATTGTAATTCCAGACGAGAACGTAAAAAAAAAAAAAAAATTTACCCCGAAGTGTATATAGAAATACATTTTTCGAAGTTAGTTACTACCACGTCTTATCAATTTCAACTTCTTACACGCTTATCTATTTATCTTTTCTTCGTGTTATCTCTTTCTAAAAACAAGCATACTTATTTTTCTTTAGTTATGTCGTCCATCCATCCATCCATCTCTCTCTCTCTTTTTCCTCTTCTCTCCTTTTTCATCTCCCATTTATATCATTTTCATCTCATTGTTTTCAAGCAGAAGAAAAAATATTTGACGTATTTCTTATCGGGTTACGGCCCCCCATTTTTTTTTTTTTTTTTTTTTTTTTTTTAATTACTCAAACTTCTAAATTCCAAAATTTTTTTCTCATGGGTTTTGAATTTATTATTATTATTATTACTTACTACAACCGATACGATACGATTTACAACCTAATTTATTATTAATTAATTACTCGACTAATATTAATAATAATAATAAAATTGGCGCGACAACGTTATAAATTTATTTAATTAATTGTTGAGGTTGTCGTTGTGAATGTTTTTTCGAATGAATGAATGAATGAATGTTTGTAGTGGGTCTCACCTTTCATTCTACAAAAATTCTTGTGGTAAAAGGTAATAATGTGATAGAGAGAGAGGAAGAGGGAGGAGAGTGTGTGTGTGGTACGTGAATTAGGGCCAAGGAAGAAACAAATACCGGATGGTAATGATGGTGATGGTGGTGGTGGTGATACGATTGTAATTAATTGTAGTATTAATTGTGTTTGTTGTAATTATTTTTTTTGTTTTCTGTTCTTATTACGACATCTTTTTTCCTTTATTGAATTAAAAGTTTGAAAGTTGTAGTGCGTGAGTACGTGCGTGTGTGCGTGCGTGCGTGAGTGAGGGATGAAATGCAATTTTTAAGTTTTACCGAAGGGATGTAAAAAAAAAAAATCTCCGAGGGATGTTTCGACAATTATTATCTTTTGCACATGTAGACGGGCGTAACCAAACATCGTCTTCTTCTTCATCTTCTTCTTTATCTTCTTCTTCTTCTTTTATAATTTCTCTAGAGAATGAACGCGACGGTTTTTACTTCTTTTATTAGAGTAAAAAAAAAAAAAAAAAAGTTTTCTGCCATGGGAAACATTTTTTTTTTTTTTGGAAAACAAAATATATTATTTGTATCGCTCGCTGTTGCCACGTCGACCTTTTCGCACAAACGGAAATGAATCGTTTTTTTTTTTTTTTCATTATTCGTGCCACGTCGAAAACAAATCTGTTAAATAAGAAGATGGTAGATAGCGAGTAAGAATTTGGTGGTACCAACCAACTGGTTTTCTGTTTCCTCCCTTCTGTGTTTTTTAATTAATTAAATTTTTATTAGTTGAAATTACGAACGTTCACACACGTGCACGTGCGCGCGTGAGTGCACGCTCGCTCACGCACACGTGCATTCACGTGAAATTTTTTTTTCATTTCCTGGATGATTTTTTTTTTTTTTTTTTTTCATATTTCGAATCAAGTTCGGACGATTTTGTAACTTCGTACAAAAAGAAAAGTTTGTATTTTGGCAAATACGTTTTTTGTCGTGGCAGTAGAAGAAATCGTTCGAGTAGTACATAAAAAATATTATTTGTTTAATATATAATTCGTGTAAAAATTTTTTTTCTTTCTTTTCTTTTCACCCATTTTTCCTTTCTCTCATTCTCTCTCTGTCTTCTTTCTTCATTCCCTTCGCATTGTTACATTTCCGTTAAAACTTTTACTTTTATTATCATTATCATCTTTATCATCATTATTATTATTATTATTATTGTTATTATTTACAAATTGATTTCATGAATAGTTTTGTGAAAATTTTTTTTTTATTGTCGATTGTATGTTAATTAATTAGATTTTATTGTTTTTGGTGTAAAATTTTGAAATCTTGTTTACACGCACGCACTCACGCACGTTCGCGAACGTAATTCGCATAATTACGGAAATGTGAGAAGGGAGAAGTAAGGGGAAGGGGGGAAAAAGAAAAACAGATTCCAGATTCGCCGTCGGTTTTTTTTTTTTTAAATAAAGAATTAAATTATAATAAATGCAAAAGCGGCTACTACTGCTGCACCGAGTAAAATTAATTTATTTACGACCGTTTATTATTATTATTATTATTATCATTATTATCATTATTATCATTATTAATATCGGCTGCTAATCGTGTTTACCGGTCACGAATCCAAACGCGGTTGCTGTGTTAACATTTTATGTGTTGCAAAAAAAAAAAAAGAAAAATTTTTTTCCTTAATGATGATTGTCGATACGCAATCGCAATTGAAAAAGAAAAATTTTTATTTTTTTTTTCCGTTTCCGGTCGGACTAAATCGTTTTGATTTTTCATTTCCTCTCTACTTCCTTTCGCGTTATGGTTGTTCTTTTTTTTATTCTTTGTTTGTTACGAAGAGAATGAAAATAAGAATTTTTATTTTCTCACAACACCTTATAAATTTTATTATTTATGGTATAAATGTGTGTAAAAGACGTGGAAGAAGAAGAAAACTCGGGAGACATTTTTTTTTTATCCTGGATGGGATTGATCGCGTGCGTATGTGCGTGGGTGAAGTTTTCTTACTGCAGATATTTATCTCTCTCCCTCTTTCTCTCTCTCTCTTTCCTTCCTTCCTCTCTCTCTCTCTCTCTCTCTCTTCCCCGAATGGAAAAAGTTTTGAGCTACCCGTAATCTTTTCTATCGTATCCGTTCGGTTTGACTTTTATTTTTACCATAACATTTATTTCATCTGACAAATTCGTTCTTTTGGAAAAAAAAAAAAAAAAAAAACAAAAGAGGAAAAAGTTTCATACTTTTCGTTTGTCGTTTGTTTGTTTGTTTGTTTTGAATATAAATAAATTTAAAAAAAAAAAAAATTTTTTTTCCAAGTCGTTTGTTTCTCTTATAAAAAAATTTCACGTTTGAAACGTTTATACGATCTTTTTTCTTTTTTTTTTTTATTAATTTTTTTTGGGGGGGGCGGGTTTTGTTTGTTGTTTCAGAATTCAAAATCGACTCCTCATTCTTATTACATGACTCATTCGTATCCACCGGGACAAAATCAAGGTGGTGCATCGTCTGCTACGCTACCAAGAGGAGGAGGAGGAGGCGGTTCACTTCTCAGAGCATATTCTCCCGCTGTCGGTAGCGTTTTATCAACGGAAAGATTAAAATCATTAACTGCTTCAGGTGAGTTTACAAAAGAATAATAATAATAATAATAATGATAATGATAATAAAACAAATTCGATGACGTAATAATAATAATAATTAAATCGATAGAAAGAAAAAATGATATTGTGTTTATTATTTAATTAATAAACTCGACGCGTTCGACATAAATTTTTCTATTTTTTTTTTTTTTTTTTTTTGTCAAAAGTTTGTTCGTTTGTTTGTTTGTTTGTTTTGAAAACATTGCCAACAACAACGCGTTCGATGGAGTTATTTAAAAAAAAAAAAGTCGAGTCATGTTTTTTTTTTATTAATACGATTAAATTTTACGAAATCGTATGATTTCACTTCGTCATCATCATGTAACTTTTCCTCCGAAAAAAATAAAAATGAAAAATAAATAAAAAACGTGTCACAAGACAAAAAAAAATATTTAAATCGTTTTAGTTAAAATTAAACAATAAAAAAAATAAAATTTAGCAAAAAACTTGACGAGTTTTAAACGATAGCAAATGAGCGGAAATATTTTTTTTAAATACCACGTCTAAACACTTCCGAACGCCTAATTTCTCTTCCGCTACCCCCTCCTCCCCTCCTTCTTCCCCCTCTTATTTTCCCCTTAGCGCCGAAAATTTTTCTTATTTTTCGCCTGCTACCTACCAAATTGTTTAAAACTAATTTTTAAAAAATTAGTGTCACTAAACAAAAAAGAAAAAAAAAGATTTAAAACGTATTAGGGATAACAGAGGATAAACATTAAAAATTAAAACCACGACCGTTATAGCGGTTGTTCGTACGACTTTTTTTTTTTGGTTGTTGTTGTTGTTGTCGTCGTCGTCGTAAAAAAAAAAATTTAATTAAAAATTAATTAATCATCTTCGATTTATCGATCCCGTAGGATATCTTATCATATTTTTTATGTAAAAATTTATGATGTGTATTTGTATAGGGCCTCCGCCAAGTCGACGTGTACCGCCAACACCTTCTTCTTCTTCTTCCACGCCTATCGGAAGATTTTATTCTCAAGGTTTGTCGTCAATAAATAATCCAAAAAAAAAAAAAAATTTAACGAACTAACAAAAACACTAACGTGACTGTTGTGATGTGTATGATGACAGTGCTCTGCTATTAACTCTTTATTTAACCCACCCCCCTACAACCCCCCCTTTTTTTTGCTTACTGCTGGGTATCACTCAAAGAAAGAATGAGTTGATGATGATGATGATGATGTGATGACGATATTGACTTTTGTGTGTGTTTTTCAAATTGCAGAAAGATTACATTCGGAAAGCGGATACATGTCGTCACCGGAAAGGGGAGGTTCGAGAGGGTATCCATCGTATCCGTCGTCTGGTGGTAGCAGTTACGAGGATCCTTATTATGCTCAAGGATATGGTTCGAGAACCGGATCCATAACTCCCGTCATAGATGAAGAAGCCAGGTGAGTCGTGAAATAATGATGATTAGTGTACATAAAAAAAAAATAACCGCGAATCAACGGGGGGTGGGAGTGGAGGAGGTCACGTGATCTTGATCGTCTGCTTGTTTTCGCTTATTTTTTTGTTGCTTATATTTTATGCTCAGGATGTCGCGTCTCTGTTTTTTTTTTTTTGTTTGTTGAGTTTTCTGTACGATTCGCGGACGCAGGACGATCGATGATGACTTCCGCGGGTAGGTTTCCCCCCCCCCCCGAAAGATTTTTATCAAGAAAAAAAGTTTTATCACTTTTTGTTTTTGTTTTTTTTTGCACTACCTTTCTACTCGCACGACTATATAAAAATACACATCGCTCTCTCTCTCTCTTTCGCGCACATTTGTAAAAACGTCTTTTCGGTACGCTTTGACAGCGACACCGAGATCATGGATGATTCGTATCATATCTACGGTGTTGGAGTTCGCGGTGGCGGAGGCGGCAGCGGCGGCGGTGGAGGAGGAGGCGGTAGCGGAGGCGGTGGTGGTGGCGGTGGTACGACAGCACCGAGAGTATCGACTTTAAGAAGAGATTTTACCGATGCCACTCAACCGTTCGATGCGACACGGTATTTGTTTTTATGTTTTTGTTTTTTTTTTTATTTGTTTTTTACATGTTTGTTGTTGTTGTTATTAATCATTCATTTATTCATTCCCTTTTATTCCATCTTTCTCTTTCTCTCTTTCTCTCTCTCTTGCCATTTTTTTACCGTATTAAATTTCGATATCCTACGTCGTCGTTGTTTTTGTTATTGAAACTTTCCCTTACGCATGCAATTAATATTTTCTCTTTTCTTTTATTTTTCGTGCGTGTGCGTGTGTGTACACGCACGCACACGCACTCACATAAGAAATTAATTATTTTAAAAATCATAATTATGGGTTTTTTTTTTTCTTCTTCATTTTACTAGTAATGACAAGTTTTATAAAAAATTTTTTTTAATTGGCCAAAATTAAAAAAGGCATCGAATCGTTAAGAAAATTTTACGGTATTATTATTATTATTATTAGTAAATGTTAATCGTCGAACCGTTTCTTATTCTGGTGACCGTGAACGTCGTTCGAACGGTTTTCGGACCGAATACGGCCCTGAATAATTTATCCAATGTCGTCCGGAAAAAAAAAAAATTTTTTTTTTATTTAAATGGTAAAACTTATCGCGCGGCATCCATTTTGTTTTTTTTTTGTTTTGTTTTACTCCCCGTTTGTTGTTGTTTGTACGAATCTTTTTTTTTTCATCCCTTTTCCCTCCGTTTTTCCTTCATTTTTTTTCCCTTTTTGATGTTTTTTTTTATTATTTTCCCTTACCGGAAACCGGAGAATTTTTGTTTGTTTTTTTGTTTGTTGTTTGTTATTTGTTTTCGTTTATATTTATTTAATTTAATAAATGAAATTTTTTTTCTGTTTTTGTTTGTAGGCTTAGAGTTGAACACATGGAACGTCAATTGGCAAACTTGACTGGTTTAGTTCAAAAGGCATTAACTCAAACTCCTGTTGTTACTCCAAGAGATTATCTCTCGGTTCCCGGTCCAAGGGATGCTTACCGGAGCGCAGGTAATTGTAATTAATTAATTAATTTGTTTTTCGTCCTCTTCCTCCCCGTTTTTCGTTTAAAATATATGTAAAACGATAAAGAAATAAATGAGAGATAGGACGACAAAGCGTGTGTGTGTGAGTGAGAGAGAAAGAAAGAAGCGCAACGAGGAGACGATATGTCGTGTGTAACTTTTCTTCTTTTTCTTTTCCCTTCTCCCCTTTCCCTCTTCGCCATTTTTATTCGGATCCGGTTTTTTTTTTACTTCAATTCTTACTTCCGGTATTATTATTTGTGTTACACGTTTCCGTTAACAAATTATTATTATTATTATTATTAATATTTTTAACGTATGAAATGATGATAATTTTAAAAATTCATAATTAAAAAAAAAAAAAAATTATTATTTATATCTCGTGATATAATTAATTAATTATCATCATCATTATTATTATTATTATTGTTATTTATTTGTTACATTATTATTATTATTTTCGAAATGGAAAGTTTGCTACAAAAAAAAAAAAAAAAAAAAAACTCGTTACAGGTACATTTTTTTTATTATTACGTTCGAATTTAACATTTTTAATTATTAGTTTTGTCAAAGTGAAAACAGTGAGGATTTCCACTGGAGTAATAGATTATTATTATTGTTATCATCATCATTATTATTATTATCATCATTATCATTATCATTATTATGAATAAAATGTTAATGAAGCTCCTAAGAGAATAATTTTCAAAAATATTTTATTATATTTTATGTGTACACGTAATGAAAAAAATTATTTAATTATTTTCGTTTTTTTCTCGCTCTCTCTCTCTCTCTCTTCTCTTTCTGTCTCTCTCTTTCTTTCACCGGCACAAATTATCTCTCTCTCTCTTTCTCTTACTCTCTCAGTTCGTAAGTTAGTCTGATTTATTGTGTGGGTTTAAAACTTTTCTTTCTTTTTTTATTTCGTTTCTTTTCCCGTTTTTTCTTTTTCCGGTATCGTGTCGGGTTTTTTTTTCTGATTGGTTTATTGTTCGACTATCGACGACGACGACGACGACGATGACGTCGACACCCGAAGAAAAAAGAGGAAAAAAAATTTTTTATTTAATTATTTTTTTTTAGCTGACGAATACGACAAACGTTCGAGTTCGAGTTCGCCATCTTTGCCAGGTTCGTTGGATAATAAAATTAATTTGTGTGAAATGAATCGTCTATCCTTCTCTATCTTTCTCTCTTTTAAAGAATCCCCCGTTTTTCTTTCTTTTTTTATCTCGCACGGAGTTTTTACGTGGGTTTTTGTTTTTCTATTCCTTTCTTCTTCTTCTCCTTTTTTGTTTGTTACAACCGACGTCGTCGAGTACATTAATTTAACGTATTATTATTGTTTTCTTTCTTGTTGCGCTGTTGTTGTTGTCGTTGTCGTTGTCGTCGTTGTTTTTTTTTTAAACTCGTACTTCTACCCCTTCTTAAAAAACAATTGAATTTTTTTTTTAAATATGAATAACAAGGGATGATAAATACGAAAAATTTTGTGAGAAAAGAACTTTTCGAAATTGTTTATTTTTGTTGTTGTTGTTGTTCACAAACGTTATTAAAGTTTGTTTTGTTTTGTTTGTTTTAAATGTTTTTTATTCGATTTTCCCGCCGAAGAAAATTTTTTTTTTGTGTTTTATCCAGTAATTTTTTGCATGATTGCTTGTAGTTAGTCCCCTTCCCCTCCCCCGTTTCTGAAATTTTTTTTCTTCTCTTTATTTCAGTATCGGTTTTGGTTTTTCTTCTCCAATTCTACTTTAACACTTCCTCTCTCTCTCTCTCTCTCTCTCTCTCTTTTATCTTTTCCGTTCGTTTGGTTTGTTCGTTGTTTTTTCCAACCGTTCTAATTGAAACCGTTGATTTTTCGCAGATGATACATACGTAAGGAGTGATGTGAAACCCCCAAAGCTTGGCAAAGGTAGAATTTTTTTTTTTTTTTTTTGTAATTTATTTATTTGTTCGTTTGCTTCTTCCACGTGTTTTTTTTTTTTTTTAATATCGATATTATTATTATTATTATTTCCAATTAGTGGTAGCAGTAGAAGTAGTAATAGTATTATTATTATTATTAGTTTTCTTACGTAAAAGCTTTTTTTATTATTATTATTATTTTTTTTTTATTATTATTTTGCGTAGTTGTAGTCATCGGTAGGCGTTTTTGTTATTTATTTATCTGTTATATTATTATTATTATCACACGTTACGTTACACTATTATTATTATTATCACAGATTTTTCTCATTAAAAATCTCATTCGGATCGATTTTATTTATTTTTATTTCTCTTTCTCTCTCTCTCTTTTTTTTATTCTTTTGATATTGCGTGATTTTTTTTTTTTTATCGATCTTATTGATTTTATCGATTTTTTTTTCTTTTGGTTTTTTTTAATTATGCTTTGTTCGTTAATTAATTAATTTATTTATTGATTTATTTATTGATTTTGAAAAAAAAAATGACACCAAATAACAAAACGAAAAAAAAGAAAAAAAAAAATTTACATTTCAGATAAGTCTGTTTCGTTTGAAAAATCAGTTTCATTTTCCGACGAACCACCGGATATGAATTCGCCGAAGCAACATTCTCCGCAACATTCAGGTTCGTTTTATTATTATTATTATTATTATTATTACTATTATTTTTCCTTTCTTATCTTTCCGAACCTTTTCACACCATATATATACCTCGTCCAAAAAATTTTTAAACGTTTTCATTTAATTTTAAGTTTTTATTTTTTTTCCAATTTGCGAATTAATTTAGGAATTGATGATGACGTAACGAAAAACAAAACTCAGATAAACATGCATAAAACACAACATAAAACATAAAACTCACAACATAAAAAAAGTTAAAAACATAAAATTTTCACGGTGACAAAAAAAAAAACTAAAAACTAAATAAATGTAATATTAAAAAACTAAAAAAAAAATTTTTTTTTCACGGCTTTTAATCGTCACTATCATCATCATCATTATTATTATTTATTTATTTATTTTTTGAATGACGTGAAAATAACTACGATGATAATGATAATAATAAATAAATAAATAAATTTTCGTACCGTACTTGTCGTTGTTATAAAAAAAAAAAATTTCGCAACGTACAAAAAAAAAAAAAAAAAAAAATTAATAATTTTTAATTAATTACGATTACGGTTGCAGTGGCAGGAGAAATTTTTTTTTAATGACACGTAATGAAACGTTGCCCATTAATATTATTATTATTATTATTATTATTATTATTATTTATTCATCGTTATTTTTCATTAATTATTATTAGTAATGTCATTCTTTTTTCTTTTTCTTTTCCTTTTTTTTTTTTTTTTAATTATTATTAAGCTACCCATGTTCTTATCGATAATTGTCGTCGTTGACGGCGACGACAACGGCGATGGCAATGGCGACGATGACGTCATTTATTTATAAATTTTTATTGTTTAAAAATATTTATTTAATGAAAATGTCGAAACAATTAACGAACGGCCGTTTTTTTTTTTTTTTTTAAATAACTGCGTAACAAGTTTTCTTCGTGTTAAAAATTTTTCCGCGTTTTTTTCCGATTATTATTATTATTAATTATTATTAATATTATTAATATTATTATTATTATTATTATTACTATTACTATTACTATTATTATTATTATTATTATTATTATTATTATTATTATTATTATTATTATTATTATTATTATTATCATTATCGAAACGGAGACGGTTTCCAAATTTTTTTTTAAATCAGTCAGTCTGTCAGTAATGGATGGATTGGATTTTTTTTTTGTGCGTAAATGAAACATTTAAAATAGAGACAGAGAGAGAGATGGAGGAGGGGGAGGGAAGGGGAGGGGTGTCGTGAGAAAAACAATACAAAAGGAAAAATATTGTTGATAATAATAATAATATTTCGAACGAACCGCGAAAATGTTTTTTTTTTTTTTTTGAGTTAAAATAAAACCCGTCGTCGTCGACGTCATCATTATCGTCGGAGTCGCCCTCGGCCGGGTCACCTTAAAAAGTATAACACCGAATAAATTTGTTTTTTTTTTTTTGTCGGTTGGTATTCCGTAATAATTAACAAGTTTTTTTTTTGTAACGTTTTCATTTATTTATTTATTTTTTCGAACTCGTAAAAAATAACAACATTAATAAAATAAATTAAATATTTATATGTATATTATTTAATTATAACCCTAAATTTAATTTTTTTTTTTAAATTCGATTCTTGTTCGCCGTCAAATCGTCGGGTTTCTTTTTTTGTTAATTTTGTACACCTGGAGAGTAAATAATAATAATAATAATAATAATAATAATAATAATAATAATAATAATGATAATAATAATAATAATAATAATAATAATAATAATGATAATGATAATGATAATGATAATAATGATAAATAAATGACGACGACGACGACGATAACGACGACCTGGCGAAACGATATTATGACGAACCTTAAAAAATTATTTCAAAACGACGGTGGGAAAGGAAGGCGGGTAATAGGGCGGGGGAGTGGGAATCGGGGATGTGGGATGGGAGTGGAAGAGGGAAGGGGAGGGAGGAGAAGGAAAGAGGAGGCGGAGAAAGGAGGAGGAGGGGAGGGATAAAAAAATTTGTGTGGAAAAATTTCCGAATCGTTCGTTCGTTCGCACAACTTATTAATTATGTTATTAAGTATTTATTTATTAATTAATAAATTATTTTATTTATTTATTTATTTATGTATTTATGTAATTATGTATTTATTTGATTTTTGAATTAATAATGTTGTTTAATGCGTTTCGGGTTACGAAAATAAAAAAAATAAAAAAAAAAATTCAAAAGGTTTTTTTTTTTTTTTTTAATGATAACGTTATCGATTTATTAATTAAGGGGAGGGGAAGGGAAGAGAGGGTGTTATTAATTAATAATTATTTATTCGTTGTTGTTGTTGTTTTAAAAACCCACTCGAAATTTCGCACGAATGCGAGTGAGTACAACCAGAGAGAGAGAGAGACACGTATCGGTGTTATTGCCACGTTACCGTTAATAAAAATGATTATTATTATTATTATTATTATTATTGCCACGACCCGGTTTTTCATCTCGGAGTGGTCGTCGTCGTCGTCGTTGATCTATTTAAATAAAAATTTTTATTTATTTATACGAATTTTTAAAGTTATTTATTTATCCAGAGAGATGTGGGAGTGGAAGGATAATTCTGGAAAAAGAAGAGAGGGGGGAGAGGGGGGAAGAAAGAGAGAATGAATTTTCAAAACGTTTGAATATTCATTTTTGAATTTCTTGAGTTTTTTTTTTACCTTTGAGGCTTTTACTGACACGTTTTTTTTTATTTTTTTGCATAATAATATGGGGGCCGCGCTTGCATTTTTAACTTGTTTGCAACGGTGGGAGGAGGGAGTAGGGGAGGGACGAGCAGCCGGGAGAAAAATTTTAAAACAACAGTTAAACGTTAATTATTATTATTCTCAATTCGATGATGACTATCGTTATTATTATTACTGTTTTTTTTTTTGGCCGTGAAAAAATTTTTCATATTTTTTTATAATTACATTTACAATCAATCAATCAATCAATCATTCATTTTAATCATTCGCACATTCATGTCATTCTTCATTCATTTTCACATTCTTTTTTTACCCGCCTTTCTCATTATTATTATTATTATTATTATTATTATTATTATTAATTGATTTTTTTTTTTTTTGGTAACTTTATTAACAATGTTTGTTTATGCATGCTAGCGGATACAAAGCCAGCCAAACCGGCCATTAAATCTTCCACACTACCCAGAACATCCTCGCAAGGTATGTAAAACAATCCCGGATAATAATGATAATAAATTTACGTGCGTGCGTAAACGCGTTCGTTTTTCTTTTCTTTTCTGTTTTTTTTTTTATACGTATCGAATTTTTGTAGTTAGTTAGACGTTCGGAAAAACAACGTTGATGATGATGATGATACGTTAAAATCGACCAAAAACGTTTATTATCATCATCATCATCATCATCAACATCTCGCTTTCATGTTCATCATTATCATTATCATCAACATCGTTCACTTAATTTTTTTTTTCTTTTTTTGGGTTACTTAATCAATTATTTTTTAAATTGTTTAAGTTTTAAATACTAACTTTCCTTTTTTTTTGTAATTTAATTAAATTGAAATTAAATTGACATTAAATTAAAATAATAGTAATAATAATAATAATGATAATAATATAGCCTTTTTTTGTAATAATTGAAAGGTTAATTCATCGCATTAAATTTTTTCACCTTGTATTATTATTATTAATTATTATTATTATTATTATCATCCGAACGAACGTATCTCGTTTACTTGTTTTTTTTTTTTTTTTTTTTTTTCTATTAATGACGTTTGTGTAAGTCGGTGGGGGGAGCGAGGGGGCGGGAGGGGAAAAAAATGAAATTTTAACTTTTATGACAGATTTTTATTTAAAAGCTTTTAATTTTTTTTTAATTTTTAAATTCATTATTATTATTATTATTATTATTATTATTATTATTATTATTATTATTATTATTATTATCATCATTATCATAACCTTTATCGTGTCACGTGTTGTTGTTGCCGCAGACATCGTCGTCGTCGTCGTGTATAACTTTTCGTTTGATTGACTTTGTTTACAGAGCGTGATCGTCACAAACCGCCACCTCCGCCGAAACCCATGTCATTATCACCTGGTCAATACGATAATCGGATAGTCGACAACAGGTTGGTTTACAGAGATTTACAATTGACTCCCGAGATGTACAATCAATTGAGGGGATTGCAAAAGAAAGCGAAAGATTTGAGACAGGAAATGAGAAATTTAAGGAGGATGTCACAAGCTCAAGCACACACAATTAAAGAAGCCATAAGAGATACATTTATTAAAATACGGTGAGTATGTTCGTTTCCCTCCACTTCCGCCGCCGGAATATTCCCTTTTTCATTATTTATTTTTTTATAGGGCTATGCTTTTGGCCGGAAGTGACGTTTCTTGGGCAATCGAAGGTGACAAAGACAGGTTAAGATTAAGCAGAGAAGAAGATTTATACAAACAGGAAATGATAAGATTAGAAAAAGATTTGACGTAAGTATCATTACCATTCTCATCATCGTCGCAATTGTAGTAATAAAACGTTTAATAAAACTCTTTATTCTCTCTCTCTCTCTTTCTTTCTCTTTCTTCAGAGAA